AACAAGTGTGAGAAGAGAGCTCAAGAAGGCCCTGGGAGAGAAGTTGAAGATTACAACAGAACTACAAAACATGATGCAAAGAACCCTAGAAATCAGATAAGATTCTTGGTAGCCCCTGGTGCAAGGCTGGTGCAAAATTACCAGAAACTTAAAAAGATACCATTCTGAGCCTCTTGCTGGTGGACAACTCATTTTTTTTTAATTGAACAGCTGCAAAACATACCAAATAATTAGCAATAACACGTTACAAACTGTGGTTTGCTCACTATGGGATTTCCCATAAGAGATAAGAAAGGGGCCTAGAATTTCCAAGGGATCATTTCAGGGATTCTCTGGGATGTACTGGTTCAAGTACATTATGTCAAGGTCTGAGCTTAAAGCCTAATAGATCAGCAGGAAAGTCAGTAAAAACAGCAAAGGACTTGAGATGACATCCTGGCTTCATCCTGGATCCTTCATTGTTTTAATGGGGCTGGGATTTCCTTTTTGACTTAAAAATAAAAAGCAGTGGATAGAGAGTGGGTCAGTCCTTAACACTGTTTTAATATCACAACACGCCTCAAAATGCTTTTTGGGGCATAAATTCAGAAACTCATGGGCAGAACATCAAAATAAAATATCAGCATCTAAGTGCTCTAAGTCAAAGGCAGTTAACCTGAAGGAGTTAAAATCAACATGTGCCTCAGCATGTAGAACAGAAAAAAGAATGCCTAGCAGCTGAGGTCATGGGAAGTTGGACTGAAATGTTGGCTTTCATAGAGAAGATATCCTGTAACCTGCAGAGGTACAACTGGACCATCACCCAGATGATAAGTCATAATAACCACAGTTAGGGACAATCCTACAGGAGAAACAGAAACCAGCTACAAAATTAGGAGGCTGGCTCTATCCATGGTGCTTATCTGGCCCTATAACCCTTCCATTTGAGCACATCACTAACACACTTATGCATGCAATCCCCTGGGAGACAAGGCAGTAATAATATCCCCATTTCTCAAAATGGAGACTGAGGCACAGAGAGGCTAAGTGACTTGCCCAAGGTCACACTGGGAGCCTGTGGCAGTGGAGGGAATTAAATCTAGAGCTCCAAAGTGCCAGGGCTGTGTCCTTGCCCCTTGGCCACCCTTCCTATCCCTGCCCTCTGTTCCATGAAGACATCCAGGATGTGTGTGACACTGGGTGTTGAGAAAGGAGACACCTCATCCACCCTCTCACTGGCCATGCAAAAGATGAGAAGCAGCAACACACCTTCCCCAGGGTGTGACATCCCCCTCTTCCCTTCCCCCCCCCCGGTGCCATCATGTAGGGGGGAGACCTTTGTAGAAGGAACCCGATGAAAAAAATGCAGTGGGTCTGTTCAGAGACCCCCTGCTGCTAGTGGCAGCAGATGCTGATGGTCATCCAGCAGGAGCCAGATCAAGGAGTCCAGGAGCAGCATCCTCCAGCCAGGGTCTCTGCTGCCCTTCACTGTGGGTCAGCATTTCCACCTGTGCAAGACAGGGTGCAAACTGCTTTGCACTCCTTTGACGCTGGTGGAAATGACAGCACAAGGTGCAGGCAAATCAGTCTCTTCTCCCAGACAGGGGATGCAGGGCAGGCCCAGCACTATGTCCCATGCCCCTGGGCAATTCAGGGCATGGGACCCACCCTCCTAGCCTCAGCATGACTCATTCCTCCATAGCAGTCCTCACAGCATCCAGTTACACTGCAGACAGACACTCAGCTCCGCTACTTGTTGCTATGATGATGAGCAAGGGGCTGACTAGTAAGGCTGGAACAGCAGAGCCTGGAGGAGCTTGGGGGAATGGAGGGGCAGGGGGATACACCCTGCTTCCCCTGACACACGCACCTGCCTACCTTCACTGCCTCCTCCAGCCGCACAAAAAACACGGAGCTGAGGGCCACCTGACAAGCATGCAACTACGGGGAGATCTCCCTGCTGCTAAGAGTCCCCGAGTCTCCAACGCTATGATGTCCATTTCCCGGCTGCTCCTGGCACCTTATGTGGCCTCGACACTTCTCTCCACGTTGGAGTTTTCCAGCACTAAAATGAGAGGGTTAACGAACATTTCGGAGCTGCAGCTGAAAGAGTGACTGAAGCGGAGAGGTGCTTGGGCAGCTGAGAGCTGTGTGCTAAGACACCAAGTCCTCTGCAGTCAGTGGGGTTGATGGAAACAGGATTTTCCAAAAGTGATTTAGCAAAAGAAAACCCTGCGGGGCTGCAGCGAGCAGCCCCAACTCTGGCCGCGTTTGAACGCCTGTCTCCCCGCAGCCGCCCAGCGGGGCCTGCCCCCGGGCCCAGGCCGCATCCTGTGGGCAGGCGCCGGCTCCCCCTGCTCTCGCTAGGGGGCGCCCACGCCCAGCCCCGCCCCACCCCGGGCTGCCC